TTGCTAAAAGCGGCGTAAAACCATACTCACTCATCACTCCTGATAATAAGTCATTGAATAAGATGGAGTCACTTATGGCCCAGTGGTGTGTAGTAAGAATTGCCTCCCTTAACAGTGCCAGGTACTGTTTGTAGACATAGATACGAGGTTAGACCCCTCGTCTGTCAGAATCTAATCATCCTTGTAAGTTCATATGAGTGAGTGATATTTTATTTTAAAGTACTTTTGAGAATAGTGATTAAGCAAATAAAACACCAGTAATACAATTAGTCCCCATGCTCATTTATTATTATATTTTTAAGAAAAAATATTGTAAGAAATTTTCAACGATATATATTTTTAAATCACATTCAACTTTTTTTCTCATTAAATGTTTAGTGATTGCTGATACATATACAGCATAATAATCTGGAAATTTTATATTTAATATTTTTTAAACAAGAAACAGATTACTGGATGTGGTTATTTTTAGTTTTCTGAATTAATATTAAATGATCTGTTCACCCCAACACATCTGGACGTCTGTAGAACAAGCAGCAAGATTTAATGTAGATCACAGTGTGTGATACATGGTATTGTGGAGAGTGTAGTGGTGATGTTTGTCATTTCACACCTATGCCAAAGTTTCCGTGTGATTTGCAGTCATCGTGCCATGGCATTGCAACCAGCAGGGGAAGCCAAACTGAAATGCTGGACAGATTAAGTCCAAAGCCTTATACATCATGGAACATTGCCTTTCCCATCAGAACACAATTAGCTATGCTGAGTCCTGTTCCAGGGTCATCATTGCTATGCTGTTTAGGATGGGAGCTTCCGCCTCTTAGATCTTGGATGAAAATTTGGAAATGAGTTTGTCTTCCTGGAAGTAATACGCTTGAGGTGAACAGCTGAAAAAAGGCCAAAGTAGCAGTTACTGTGGTAACTTTGACTCACTCACTCTGTAATGGTACATAACGAGACACCCAGGTGAAAAAAGGCCAAAGTAGCAGTTACTGTGGTAACTTTGACTCACTCACTCTGTAATGGTACATAACGAGACACCCAGGTGGTGGGAGACGGGATTCTTCAGTAATGGTACATCACGAGACACCCAGGTGGTGTGAGACGGGATTCTTCAGTAATGGTACATCACGAGACACCCAGGTGGTGTGAGACGGGATTCTTCAGTAATGGTACATCACGAGACACCCAGGTGGTGGGAGACGGGATTCTTCAGTAATGGTACATCACGACTTCCAGGTGGTGGGAGACGGGATCCTTCAGAATGGTACATCACGAGACACCCAGGTGGTGTGAGACGGGATTCTTCAGTAATGGTACATCACGAGACACCCAGGTGGTGTGAGACGGGATTCTTCAGTAATGGTACATCACGAGACACCCAGGTGGTGTGAGACAGGATTCTTCAGTAATGGTACATCACGAGACACCCAGGTGGTGTGAGACGGGATTCTTCAGTAATGGTACATCACGAGACACCCAGGTGGTGGGAGACGGGATTCTTCAGTAATGGTACATCACGAGACACCCAGGTGGTGTGAGACGGGATTCTTCAGTAATGGTACATCACAAGACACCCAGGTGGTGGGAGACGGGATTCTTCAGTAATGGTACATCACGAGACACCCAGATGGTGGGAGACGTGATTCTTCAGTAATGGTAGTCGTGTAGTTGAACAGACAGTGGTTTCTTACTACAGAGTCACAACACTGAGAATGACTAATAATTTATTGAGGTTTCATCTGTCAACTTGAAATTGGTTCGTGGAGCCAAGAGGTTTCAAACAGTAGTGGCTTTGTCCTCAGTTATGGAATGACTTATTCAAAGAGTCAGTGTCCAATTTATCTTTCTACTATTTTTCTAATTTCATTATATCATCCATTTCTATAGTAGCCACAGGATCTGTATTCCAAACTTGGGAGACAAACTTTCAGTTTTCTCTGTAGAGCATGGTTACTGCTTGAGTTTACCTTGCTGAACTTAATGTGAAACCGATTCCTTGCTTATAATGTCAAAGTTACATATAGAGAAACTCCAGAAGTCAAGCATTCTGATTACTTGAAATAGACTCTCCTAAATAATTTAAATCATGTTTCCAAAAATGCATGGTCACATGTTCTTGTACTTTTGATATAGCTGGACTTAACCCTGTTACAAAATGATTTCTATCAAGGATTGAGAGAGAGTACTTTCTGAGAACATTAGCATCTCCACCGATGTGGCTGTCACACCAACTGTTTTATTCAGAGGTAGTTATTGTGTTTTGTAGGACTGGCTAAAATGATTGACGATCAGAAATATTGATGGGGAAAATATTAATGATTATTGATATGAAAATTAACAATGATAATAGCTTTCTTGTACCATGTATATATAATTGTCTAAGCATGCTCAAAGCACACAAGCAATCTGATTATTATTGCCCCGGATAACCCAAGCTGCCTGTTAGGTGCTAGAAGGTTATCCCACCGGGTACCCATTTTCTACTGGGTGGCCAGTGTCTTTTTCGAACAAACTCACTTGCCTAAGGTGAGACCACATGCATCACATGTGCTTCGTTGTGGGTGAGTCCTAGAAACTCTGAGGAGTCAAGCTGCGGAACACGGTCACCCATCCAAGGACTGACATTGTGTCATGTGTAATATGGTACAATAACTATTGTGATGAAATAAAGTCTTAATTCACTCAGACAATACACAAAGTTCGACTGCTTCTAAATAATGTGGTGTTTTGTTAGTAATCCAAACACAAATATGTCACCACTCACTAGTGGTGTGAAATAGGATGATTTCTTTCAGACTTTGGGGGGCATTTTGGCTTAAAGTTACTTCTCTGATATTTATGGATCATTAAAGGATATTTAGTTAACAATTATTGATTTCTTTGATCTATGTTGATAGTCACCGCTAGTGATTGACTGGTCAGGACTGAGTACTTTCCCAAGCAGTGATAGAGTGTTGCTGTAGACGAAGAAGATTAATAAGATACTGATTTTATGTAGCTTTAATTCTTGTTCTCGTATGAGTTAGTGTAATTTTGCTGGGAACACAATTGATTAAATTGCATACAGTTAAATGGATATGGGACTTTAATACATACAGGAGACGTTAATGAAGAATATACTATAAATAGTCTGTTATTGTCCATGTAATTTAAAACATTGGTATTAGAGTTTGAAAGTTTATGAGGTGGGTATCGCGAGTGTCTTTGTTAAGTAAGCTGAAATGAAATGGTGATGTTACAGAAATAGAATTCACATACTCTGGCACAAATAATATTAATTTGCTGAATACATATCCTTGGGGCTGAAGCAATTTAGGGTATTGGGATTTATTCCTGCCAACATGAATGTTCGTCATCTTTGAAAATTGACGTGGATATTTGAAAAAGCCACGTTTGTGTTGTCATAGCCCAAGGTGCTGATTCTGATGCCAGAAGAGGATTACATAAAGGAGACATTTTTCATCTCTGAAGCTGTCATGTAGCGTTTGAAACTTGTCATTTTACATTGAAGAGAGGTAAATATTCAGGAATTTTTTTTTCCTGCAGTAAAAAACATCCTCGTCTGGCTATTTTCAGGATCATGTTCTTTGGCTTTTAAAAATTATAGTAAAAGTTGAAGGTCCTGGGATTAAGATGCTATGACCTATTGCCACAAAGACTCTCAACAACCATTCAGAGGTAGGCAAGGGGTTGGAAGGGGGATGCGACATGCACATGGGTCAAAATATATTTTGTTAAATTTTTGTCACAGCACTTGTGCACAGGACAGTCGTAAAGATATTGAAATTTGGAATTTTAGAAAGATGACAGGAACAATACTTTTTCCTTTGTCTTCAAACTAGGTGAATGTCGTTTCACTATACTTTGATAATAAGTGGTTGTAATTCAGGAAGATTGCTCCCTTCTGATATCTCGATTCATACCAACCCTTCTGATCTCTGAATTCCATGGACTCCAGGGAAGATCCAGGTTAGAATTGATCTTCAGTAACCCATGCTTGTCATAAGAGGTGACTAACAGGATTGGGTGGTCAGGCTAGCTGACTTGGTTGACACATGTCATTGTGTCCCAAGTGTGTAGATTGATGCTAATGCTGTTGATCACTGGATTGTCTGGTCCAAACTTGATTATTTAAAGACTGCTGCCATATAGGTGGAATATTGCTGAGTGTGGCATTAAACAACAAACCAACCAATCTGAATTCCCTGGTAAATTTCATGAATCATATGCCACAAGCATGTTCAAGTGGTTGTCGCATGTGATAGTCCTGTCTACATGCATCTATTGCTGGATTAATGGAACACACATATCAGGGAACCTTGTTACAACATATAGCAGTGTTCTAAGTGTGACATTCAGGTCTTTGAAACACTGAATACCAGGTATTACTGGTTCAATACTCTTTTTTGGACTGGTCTGTGATATAACTAGGTTTATATCAAATTCCTTTCACCTTTTAGCCATTTAACTTGTTTTGGCCCCTAAAAGAATGACATCCTCAGATGTAACCTATCTAGAGTTGACCATTACCAAGCTACAGGATTTGAATGACATGGGTCTTTAACTCACCTGCCTGAAAGTCAGGCTTTCCTATGGCCTGGTTTGCTTGTCAGGCACTGCGGTTTCAAACTGTTTCGGGGCGGTTAGGTAGCCTAGTGGTTAAAGCATTAGATCATCATGCCGAAGACCTGAGTTCGATTCCCCACATGGGTACAATGTGTGAAGACCATTTCTGGTGACCCCGCCGTGATATTGATGGAATATTGCTAAAAGCGGGGTAAAACCATACTCACTCACTCACTCACTCACTGTTTCCTACTTGTGCAGGTGAGCTACACGACCTTGGCACTCTTGTTCATTTAGTACAACTTTGTAACTAGGCTACTTTCTCATAACCACCTAGCTTCACCCACTCACACTTTAACCATTGTCTTGCTGCTGATTGGTCTTGAAAAACGTTTCATCAACTTCTCTGAACGTTTGTTGTTGTTTTTCAGCTGGCTGAACAGTATGTACATGTGCAGGCTGAGATCGCCCTCCTGATCCAGAGAAAGTGAGTACATTGTTTTTATATGTGCATTTTCATTCAACTTTTCACACAACAAAACCATTCCAACATCGTGAACACCGATCCATCTACCACTTTCTTCATGAGTATGATAAGACATGGAGGGATTTGGTGAACAAATTATTTATCTTTTCTACATGAAAAAACAGATGGATTTCCCATGAGTATAGACACATCTGCCAAGTGTTATCAAGTAATTTGGGTATGCACCGATACCTGTTCTTCTAACAGGACAGTGGTGTGTGTTTTAGGTAAATGTTTTCTGGATGGTGTATTTCCATGGTAGCACATTAACTGAATGCTGAACAGAATTCTCAGTCCACTTGTGGCTGGTAAAAACAGCCATGTTTTTAATTCTGTGTGAAGATAAAGGGCCTGGTGATTGCAACATTAACCGTATTGACTTGATAAAGGCCATTTTTGACGATGCCAGATTTTAGAGTTGGTAAACTTTTTTTATAATTGTTTCACAATCTTTGAAAGTGTGCATATGAATGACAGCCGTCCTACTTTTCCTTTTAACACTTTCACATTTTGATCCTGTAACAACATCAAAACCGGAGGTATAACTACCAGGTGTGAAAAAGGAGGATTTAATAGAATTTCGCGAAATGTTTGTTTTACTTTTGTGACATGAGTAGGGTCTGACCTCAGGAAACATCATACATCATGGATGGCTGGTGTACACAGTTTTTCTTCACAAAGCTTAAAGTCTGTCTATCCAACATTTTTCCCATGTCACTCAACTTGATGTCAAACTTATATAAGAATTGGCTTCCAGCTTCCTTGACTAATTGGTAATTTTAATTTAATGACAATCATTTAGTAAATTATTAGCCGACTTATTGTCTCTGTTAAAGGAAACTTTTTCCTTTATTGACACCTTTAGTTTTCATTGGATCAAGCAAGGGGTTCTTTTAGATTTCTTATGGTTCTTGACGACTGGTGTGAAAAATTCCAGAAAGTTAGGGGATTCCGGAATCTTCTTATTCATGGTCACAATATTTCAAGAAAAACATGAAACAATTAGATGTGTCAGACACAGACATGCTTTATCTGTACTACAGCCTGAAGAAAAATAACACAACCATGTTCCACATTAAATATGACTATATTAATAACAGAATAACAGGCTAAAAAGTCTTTTGAAGTTTTCTAAAACCAGCCTTTGATGTCGAAATTTAAAAAGTTTTTTGTCATGGAAAAATGTGCTAAGCTGTTATTAAAGGTAGAGTTTAAAGAGTTTAGTCTGTTGGTATATTGTCTCTGTTAAAGGTAGAGTTTAGTCTATCGGTATATTGTTTCAGGAAAGGTTGGATAGGGTAAGGATGCTGTAATTGTAATTTAACTGCAAATTTTCCTACTAAATGAATAATCAGCGCCTCTGATAAGGTAAGCCTCTCCATGAGGATATATCTTGGTGTGGGCTTCTGATTTCAACTGGAACTTAATTGAGGCATAATCAGCCACCTCCAGCAGCGAGTCCCATGGCAGCAGGGCTTTGAAGTCATCTTGTATGTTGGACAGTGCCAGTGTAAGTCTACTGGTGATACGTGCTAGCTGCCAGTGCCTAATTAGATCTATGTTGTGGGGAGGTCAGGTTGTGATAGACACAACACTTTTAAAGGGTCTAAGTGTCTGCATATAGCTTATGTTGCTGCAGATTGATAACAGTGCTCAAGGTGAACCGTTACCAGAGATGACATGCAACGGTCCTTCTGACAAATTCAAGTGGAATTTGTTGTACACACATTATTCAGTACCTGTTTTGACTGAGAAGAGAACGGAACGATGGAAGTTGTAGTAGTTGTACATGTTACTGGAAATGGATCAAGTTGATAACTTTAATTATAAAAATATTAATAATAATAGTCCATTTATCGTGCGCATTTCTCCATGCATAATGCATGCTCAAAGCGCCAGACAATTTGATTATTATTACCCAGGATAACCCAAGCTGCCTGTGAGCCCCTACAAGGTTAATAGTCACATGACCTATCCGACCGGGTACCCATTTTTCTGCTGGGTGAACAGAGGCAATTTTTGAACAAACTCACTTGCCTATGTTGAGACCAATTGTATCACATGTGCTTCGTTGTGGGGCAAGACTGAAGTCCTAGAAACTCGCAGCAGTCAAGCTGCCAAACACGGTCACCCATCTAAGGCCTCTCCTCACTCAATGTTGCTTTACTTCAACTGATTTGTGACCTGAGCTACATGCACAGGACCACACTGCAGTGAAACATGCATTTGGATGTAAAGGTCAGGAGGTTCTGTAATGAACAGAAGTCTTCAAATTTAAATCTTAATTTCATGTGTATATATATTTTCTGTGTAATTCATCAACTTTCAAAACATACCTTGCCATATTCTGTATGTCTCGTCTGACTTAGCAGGCATAGTAAATATGAAACTTGATTATTGTAAATAGGAATCTCGGCAGTTCATTCCAAATATGCATTTTTCCAGCCCAAAGAGCAATCTGAAGAGAATTACAAGGATGTGTTGTATCTGAGGTGAAAATAACTCAGGCATTTTTGCCTGAGAATTTTAGATCGTTTGTTGTGTGAATATGTCTCAAGCAAGGTTTCAGCTAAATGCTGGACTTGGTTCTGTGAAATGTTCATGAAGACAATGTACTTTTGTTTTGAAAAACAATGATAAGAAGTCAAACAGATTGGAACTTTGAATTCTTTGGGGAATAAACTACAAAAAATGTCTACCGATTGTCTTTCCAAAGTGATTTTTTTTCATGATTCAATATTCACCAGAGACAGTGAATTGAGAATGCAGAGTTATTTCTTATGTTGCCTCTTTTCCTGTTGGGAAGGAAAATGTTGCTTGATGATACCATAAAGTGACTTTAATCTGTTGTTGAAATATTACACTTAATAATGATAATAATACTAGTCCACTTCTATAGCATCATGAATATCTTGCTCAAAGCGCTTTTATTATTATTATAACCCAAGCTGCCTGTGAGGTGCTAGGAGGTTATTAGTCACATGACTTAACCCACCGGGTACCCATTTTCAGCTGGGTGAACAGAGGCAATTTTGAACCAACTCATTTCCCTATCCAGTCACCTATCCAAGGACTCTCACATTCAATGTTGCTTCTGATTTGTGACCTGGGCCCCGTTCCACAAAGCGATCGTAGCACGCTAAGATGATCGTAACTCCCATACTTTAACATAGACTTACGACTGTCGTAGCGCTACGATCACTTTGAGGAACGGGGTCCTGAGCTGTATGCACAGGACCACACCACCACTGCACATTATACTGCTGTACATTATTGCCACCATGTCCATGTAACTATAGGTAATGACAGCTAGTTACAGGGGAGAGATTGCTATTTGACCGTATGTTGAAAGGCCACTTGCTATACAGAGATGGGTCAAGGTTCAAATCCAGCCTTCACATTAGATATGATGCCTGGTTGGTTGGCACCAAATCCATGTTTGGGGGTTTCACCAGAAGTAGAAGACATCCATGACCCGTGTGAGTGTGAGGCGTTACCTTCACACTGTCTCAAACGTCCTGATAGTGTTTCACTTTAACTCATTCAAACAGCTGAAGATGATATTGGCCTTTGACATTGCAGCAATGTTGAAACTTCTGGATTGTTTAACACAGCTCTCAGCAGTATTCTAGTGGTGTGACAGAGGTCGGCAAATACATCAACCCCTGGTCAGACAATCCAGTGATTGACATTCATCCAACTGGGATGCAAAGACTAGGAGGCTTCGACCATTTTCGAAGCTCTCTTAACGCTAAAATAGTCGTAAGTGCCATACAATAACAGTAACTTACGAATCTTAGCCCTAAAAGAGCTTCGAAAATCTAGGCACTGATCCTAAGTCACCTTATTTGACATGTTCCTGGGGATCTGTTCTCTTACCTGGGAGGCACACAGGATTCAAGTTGATAGATTAATCAAAATCAGTTTAATAACTTTGATCATCAGTTTACTAACTTGAAGGACGTACATGGATGAAGATGGCATAACCTCTACAGTATCTACAGTACAAGAGAGTTGAGAAGAGCACAAAGTCATGTTAGAAGCATCATCTAATTCCTCAACCGTAACATCAGTCAGTCTCAAGTTTTACTTGCACAGAATTAAAAGAAAACAGGTTAGGGATCTATAAATAAGGAAATGGAATCCTCCTTGAATCAGGTATGTAATGCAAGGGGATGCAGCAGGAAAGAAATCCAGCCATTAAATTTCACGATGTTGCACAACTAGACTTGAATACAAGAGGTTTCCACTGACAAAAAGTTGATGAGTAAGGGTTGGAAAAGCCATCAGAGGTTCTGTAAAGTTTAGGGAAAAACAACAAAGACTTGAATAATGGCGTAGGGAGGAATAATGGTGCTCAAAAAACACATTGCAGTTTGCAGTCTCGAATATTCATGTCCAGGAATGTGTTAAGAGATTCAAGTGAACCTGTCAATATTTCTTTTAATCTTAACATATTGTGTCATTTTGCATCTTTGTCTGGAGCATCTGTGATGTACAAGCAGTGTTAAAAGTCTTTTTGTATGCCAGTGAATAGTACAAAACCTATACGGGAATGAAAAAGGCTCCTTGACAAGGATTTACCTGACTCTTTATTCGTGCGCTTTGAGCATTTACTGTGAATGGAAATAGCTCGGAACAAATAGACTATAATAATAATGATAATAATAATAATCTGATGACTAAGATGCTACTTACACTTGATTGATGGAAGTGTATCTTCAGTCAGCAGTGGGCCTATGATTGGGTTGAAATTAGATCTGACATATTTGTACTTGTCGTTTGGTTGGAAGTAGAAATAAAGTCAGGCCAATAATGGCACACACTAAAGCTAAAGACAGTGCCATTTGGTTGCATTATCTTTACAGCAGGCTGTAAATTGTAATTTACCCCTTGGTACTGACAGGTCATAATTGTACATCAGGAAACAGTGCTTGTTGGATGAAGTGACTTGGTAGACTGGTTTGTTGGGGTATCAGGCAAGGTGTCATTGTACCCTAATGGTAGGGAATCGTTACTCACAATATCAACCACTGGTTTTAACGTCATTTTTGATTATTTACAGTCAGCCCACTGTTAAATAGCCTGAATGTTGCTGTGCTGCGATTGGCATTAAACAGCAAACAAAACAATAACATAATACATTTCTTATCATTATTGATTTGTCCCATATCTGGGATGTTGTGATCCAGTAATCCAGTAATCCAGTGTTGTACTCCAGTAACATCGTGTAACAACAAATCAAGTTTTCAAATATACTTCTATGTATTTGGGCGGTGGGGTAGCCTAGTGGTTAAAACGTTGGCTCGTCATGCCGAAGACCCGGGTTCGATTCCCCACAATGTGTGAAGCCCATTTCTGGTGTCCCCTGCCGTGATATTGCTGGAATATTGCTAAAAGCGGCGTAAAACTTAACTCAGTCAGTCAGTCAGTCTATGTATTTGATTCACAAATACTAAGGTATGTCAAAATGTCTTCAGAGGACCTGGTATTTTCAAGTTTGATGCATAAGGTGTGGACCAGAAATAGTGGACCTTTCAGAGATGTCTCTGTTTATGCAGAGATAAAATGTCTTATGTCCATATCAAATTAACACAAACAAACACTTACTTATTTGTCTGCCTTGACATACAATAGGTATATAGGAAGGAGGAACTATAAAAATTTAGAATTTATTGATTGGAAATATGATGGCACTAGCTTCTCCGATGTGTTATGTTTATTGTCCGGGATTTCCCCATGGCCGTTTCCATAGACAAATGTTACGCCAGTCTTGCAACAAATAATGGTAATAGTGTGAAAATGAAAATGAAAAAATATTGAATTCAGATCATCATGACCGTATATTCAGAACTTGGTCATAGGGTCTCATGTAATGAATTAATAACAGATGTGTAAGACTTAAACACGTATTTTGCATTTATATTGCATGTGAATGCAGGCTGTTTGCTCTCAGTTTGTGATCCTAGATAAACCCTGTGAGGGTGTGTAGTCGTGTGAGGGCTCATTAATATACAGGTGTTGGAATTACTTGTTTTAATTCAATCATTTTATTTTTTAAGTTTTTCTCTTTACATGTAAGTCCCAAAATCTGCATTTTTACACAAGATAGGTATTCAAAACTAACATAACACGTATTTGGAATGAAGTGATCGGCTGTATGACAGATCCCATCAAAATCATCATCTATCTCTTGCCTCATTGAGATAAACATTTTATGCAGGTGAGACTTCCCACAGCCCATGGGAAGGACTGCTGTACAACCTCAGCCAGCTGGGATACATTCTGGAATAAGCTTTTGTTGTCAAATTTTGTTTGATATTTTTTAAAGAGTAGTCTGGAATGGACATTGTCAATTGCAAACCAGCGCCATAAGGTTTGAGAAAACTGTGTTCTGATTGGCTAGTCTCATCTTCTCGACTGACTGACTTCTTGTGTTAGTCCTTGGTAGGTCAAAGTTTTGTGATAGGTCATTCTGACATATATAATGACCTATAATGGGATGTCCTTACATCTTTGGGGCGGTGGGGTAGCCTAGTGGTTAAAGCGTTGGCTTGTCATGCCGAAGACCCCGGTTCGAATCCTAACATGGGTACAATGTGTTAAGCAAAGGGTTCCAGCGTTGGCTTGTCATGCGAAGACCGGGTTCGAATCCTAACATGGGTACAATGTGTTAAGCCCATTTCTGGTGTTCCCCCACCGTGATGTAGCTGGAATATTGCTAAAAGCAGTGTAAAACCAAACTTAGTCAGTCCTTACATCTTTGATTGAAGATCTGATCTTAAGATTAGTGAATGGTGGGTGACATTGGTAGAACTGGGACATGATTAAAATGTTTCATGAACACCTGGTGTCATCATTGCCTTTCGGTTGTCCATCCATATAATTTTCATCACCCTTTTGCCTTTTCTGCCCTGTTGATTCTGTTTGTGCAGATGATCGAGAATGTTTTATTGTTTTTATTGTCTTTAGCTTTTAGTTCAAAGTCATTTTCTTCAATTATTCACTACAACTGGCGAGTGTGGATGGCACAGTCCTCAAAATCCTTTTAACTGGTGTGTGGAGTTGTGTCCCCTAACCGTTACAGGATCCATATCTCAATTACTTGTCCTTGATGAGGCTGCAACCTTTCCCATGCTTGTGGGTTTTATCAAAATGGCAGATTTCAACAATTTGAGGCTCTTTGGTCCTCCCCGCTCTATTGCCACTCTCACTCTTCTCACCCCCATCCTCCAGTCCCCCAATCCCCCCCACCAAGCTGATACATGGTCATAAACTGTGTTTGGATGCTGAACATTAATCTCAGGATCGTTATGAGGACAAGTTAGAAGATAAATGTTCATTCATTTCCATTATCTTAGTTTTTGGTTTGGTTATAAACCAACTGTCTGAGGACAATATTCAATAAACAAATTCATTTTGACCTTGGTGTACTTGGCACCATGTCACAGAGCAGAAAGTGTGAAATAATGCCAAGTGGCAGAACACTGTGAAATAATACCAGGAGACAGAGCATGAATTAAGAATTCTGCCTTTGAAAACGTCATGTGATCATTCAGTGCACTTGTTACACCCGTATAATTTCATGAAGGTCGTACTGACATCAGCTCAAGACAATGTTAGAAAAAAAGCATGATTGTCATGGGCCTTGAAAATATATCACTCACTAAACATGAAAAACTCTCCACCATTTTTGCATTTTTTTTAAGAAAAAGGAAAAAACTTTTCTGATATTGCCAACAATTACAGCTGTGCAAACAAATAGACCAAATTAGTGACTCCTTATCAGATACCAGCGATGCTAGCCTGCACCAACTGATGGAAAGTGATCATAAATATTAAAGAGAGATTGTTTTTGTACAGTTACTAAAATTGACTTTGTTTGTCTCTCTGAGCCTGGCTGCAATAAAACTTTTTCTAGTGTACATGACTTTGAGCTTGAGGAACTGTGAAACATGGACTTCCCTATTTTTATTGCCATTTTTAATTGGTTCTGTTGAGAGTAGAATGAGGTTGTCCTGACAGGTGTTGTAGCAGCATCTGACCCTTGTGAAGTGATGGCTTTGTAGACGGTTCACCTCAAGGAAGCCAATAAAAACCTTCATTTCTTTTGATTACTTGGGTGTAAGGGTATTGTTGTGGTCTAAGTGAGTGAGTCAGTTTAGTTTTACGCCGCCTTTAGCAGTATTCCATCAATATGACAGTGGGGAACACCAGAAATGGGCTTCACACATTGTTCCCATGTGGGGAATCGAACCTGGGTCTTCGGCGTGACGAGCCAACGCTTTAACCACTAGGCTACCCCACTGCCTCTATGGTCAAAGAATTGTAACATCAGATACAAGTGCTGGGTTTGATTCACCAAAGAGGTACACATATGAAGACCATTCTTGCTGAAGTGATGGCTTTGTAGACGGTTCACCTCAAGGAAGCCAATAAAAACCTTCATTTCTTTTGATTACTTGGGTGTAAGGGTATTGCTGTGGTCAAAGAATTGTAACATCAGATACAAGTGCTGGGTTTGATTCACCAAAGAGGTACACATATGAAGACCATTCTTGCTGTCTTCTGCTGTGATGTGGTTTACATTATCGGACAAGTTAAATGAACAATATACTGATGGAAACAAATAAGGTAACACATGAAAGTGTCAAGTGTTCCTATATTCTTTTCCAGGTTTCTTTGCATGCTTTGTATTGCACTGTTGGTGGAAACCTGGAAGAAATACAGGAATACTTGAACTTTCCTGTCTTCCCTTATTCTTTTCCATCAGTATATATTTGCACAATCTGATATTGTGTCATTTCCAAACTTTTATGACTTTATTGAGTACCATTTGAAACACTTATTCAAGTTTCTTTCATTAACAAAGCCATTGTTTTTGTGTAAATATACTGCAGTTTTCCCGACTGTTTTGTTTGGCGGTTTGTACAAATCCGATTTGGTTTTGATTTGATGTTTGATAAAGACTCTGACTCAAAACTCTCAAGGATTCATAATTCGCAAAGTCAAACTCTGGACATTAGCCAAATCAATTCCATCCTCTGAAGTCGGCAAGACTTGAGCGGCAATGCAGTCCTGATGCAGGGATTTGGGTGAAACCTTTGTAAAACTACTCTAACAAGGCATGAGGTTAAATTTAATCATTTAAATGTTGTTTGAAGTCAAAGGAGATTAGACGTGTGTTGCAAAATAGCTTGAAGGATGCACATGATCTGTGAAGGGGATAAGAACCGTGGGAGAATTAATATTAACTTGATTGGGGACTAGGACAAATGTCAACAGGAGAGGGGTTATTAGGCAGTTGAAACTGTTATTGTAGTGTTAGTGTGTTTGTTTTGCAGACATGAGCTCATCAAAGAGTTTGAGCAGGATGAGAAGGAACAGCAGTCAGTGACACGGTCGAGGCTGGTGGAGGAGTTCACGCAACTGTCCTCAGAGAATGTGAGTGTTGGTGAACCCCTGCTGGTTTTGTTAATGTGACATACATACACTCATCTAAACCTTTCTTGTGTGACATTATACCATGAGTACACCATTACATCATGTTTACAAGATTACACCAAGATTACACCATGGTTACAACATTACAATATCATTACATTAGTGCACCATTACACCATTACATAATGGTTACACCATTACAGTATGATTGCAAAATGACACCATAGTTACACCATTGCAATATGTTTATAATATTACACCATGGTTACACCATAACATTATGATTGCAATATTACACAATAACACAATTACAATATGATTACAAAATGACACTATCATTACACCATTACAATATGATTACAACATTGCACCATGATTACAATATGATTACAACATTGCACCATGGTTACACCATTACACTATGGTTACAACATTACAACATGCTTACAACATCACACCATGGTTACAACATTGCAACATGATTACAACATCACACCATGGTGACACTATTACAACATGATTACAACATCACAGCATGGTTACAACATTACAACATGATTACAACATCACACCATGGTTACAACATTGCAACATGATTGCAACATCAAACCATGGTTACACCATTACAACATGATTACAACATCACACCATGGTTACAATGCAACATGATTACAACATTGCACCATCATTACACCATTACACCATGGTTACACCATTACAACATGATTACAACATCACACCATGGTTACAATATGATTACACCATGGTTACACAATTACACCATGGTTACAATATGATGACATCACACCATGGTTACAATATGATTACAACATCACACCATGATTACACCATTACACCATTACAACATGATTACAACATCACACCATGGTTACAATATGATTACAACATTGCACCATCATTACACCATTACACCATGGTTACACCATTACAACATGATTACAACATCACACCATGGTTACAATATGATTACACCATGGTTACACAATTACACCATGGTTACAATATGATGACATCACACCATGGTTACAATATGATTACAACATCACACCATGATTACAACATCACACCATGGTTACAATATGATTACACCATGGTTACACCATTACAACATGATTACAACACCACACCATGGTTACAATATGATTACAACATTACACCATTACACCATTACAACATGATTACAACATCGTACCATGGTTACACCATTACACCATGATTACATCATTACAAAATGATTACAATATTATACCAAGATTACACCATGATTACATAACACACAGATGACATTACTGTTTCTACATACTGAACAAATTGCCAGTTTTCAATTATTCGTAATTTGTACATTGTTTTTACCCTGGTGAAATTTTGTTGAACTTCTTAAAGACCGTCTTTGTCCTTAGTTTTTGAAAGTTTTATTTGCACAATTCTATTTGATTACACTGAAGTTTTTGTATTGTTTCATTGTTTAAGAGCAAGCAACACACTTTGAAACACTTTAAAACATGTCTAATACACAAAACGTACAAAAGATGTTTGACTATGTCAGATGAGAACATTAAGAGGTGGTGAGCTTTTCTTTGTTTCCTACATTACTGGAGTATTGAATCCTTTCAAGAACCCTTACATATTATCTGAAAGTTAAAGTGCAGTGTAGGCAAAAACAGAGAATTTTCTTACTCGTGTAATTGATAGATGTGAATGCCTGTCGAGTTGATGGCAATCACATGAAACTGTCTCTGAGGTGTGAACCAGAAACACATGGTCCAGTGGATGTATGGACAGTAAGATAATGAGAATGGCTTGCACCATCACATAGAGCTATAGACAATGTGTAGGTCTGCCTCCACCTCCTTCATCAAAGGCCATTAATTAGCTGGCAAGACATAGGAAGTAGGTAAATTATCACCAGTAGTCCTCAAGTCAATGAAGGTGTCACCCTGGCCAATCTGTGAACATCTTGAACTCCAGTTGTTGAAATTGATATTCATGTGTTGGTGCAGCTATCCATCATTGTAACTGGGTCTGAACCAACACTTCTCCTGCCCCAAGGACAAATTGTCACTTTGTAATTACTCCTTGTGGGGCCACTAATGAAGAAAGTTGGAAGATTAAATGGAGATTTTGCCCGACCTATATATTGTGTTGATGATTTTGATTACTTTCAGGCATGATTGTCTGTTTCATTGAATTGGTGAAATTCCCCAGCCTCCTTTGCCACTCTAACCGTAGACTGCTAAATTAATTTGAAGAGTGTCTTGAGGTGAAGTGAAACAGGACATTGAAATGGAGCCCTCTTCAAACTTCTATTGAATTTCCTCAAAATTCCAAACTTATGAGACGCACCTGTATAATTGTATTCTTCTGATACCTATCTTAATTTTACAAATTTTTATTCTATCTTCTATATTCTAACCGTTTTGCTAACATCACTAAAAATTATGTCTATGAAAATATTGGTTCATTAGTCTTAAAACTTATAAAACTTATATAATCTTTTAAATGATATAAAATGCATTATTTTTTCAGTAAAGAAAAGGTAGATATGATGGGAATTTTATCTTCATAAATTAATGGTCTGTAAAGTAATTCTTTTGGCATCAGATGAGTAATGTCTCTTCAGCAAGACCTACAGAGTTTGTAATTAAGTGTCCTCCATCAATAGGTGGTTTAAGGCAGGAGATGTTCTCCATGAATAGGTGGTTTAAGTTAGGAGATGTCCTCCATCAATAGGTGGTTTAAGGTTTGAGATGTTCTCCATCAATAGGTGGTTTAAGGTTTGACCACTAATGAAGAAAGTTGGAAGATTAAATGGAGATTTTGCCCGACCTATATATTGTGTTGATGATTTTGATTACTTTCAGGCATGATTGTCTGTTTCATTGAATTGGTGAAATTCCCCAGCCTCCTTTGCCACTCTAACCGTAGACTGCTAAATTAATTTGAAGAGTGTCTTGAGGTGAAGTGAAACAGGACATTGAAATGGAGCCCTCTTCAAACTTCTATTGAATTTCCTCAAAATTCCAAACTTATGAGACGACCTGTATAATTGTATTCTTCTGATACCTATCTTAATTTTACAAATTTTTATTCTATCTTCTATATTCTAAACCGTTTTGCTAACATCACTAAAAAATTATGTCTATGAAAATATTGGTTCATTAGTCTTAAAACTTATAAAACTTATATAATCTTTTAAATGATATAAAATGCATTATTTTTTCAGTAAAGAAAAGGTAGATATGATGGGAATTTTATCTTCATAAATTAATGGTCTGTAAAGTAATTCTTTTGGCATCAGATGAGTAATGTCTCTTCAGCAAGACCTACAGAGTTTGTAATTAAGTGTCCTCCATCAATAGGTGGTTTAAGGCAGGAGATGTTCTCCATGAATAGGTGGTTTAAGTTAGGAGATGTCCTCCATCAATAGGTGGTTTAAGGTTTGAGATGTTCTCCATCAATAGGTGGTTTAAGGTTTGAGATGTCCCTTATCAATAGGTGGTTTAAGGTAAGATATGTCCTCCATCAATAGGTAGTTTAAGGCAGGAGATGTCCTCCATCAATGGGTGGTTAAAGGTAAGATATGTCCTCCATCAATAGGTGGTTTAAGGCAAGAGATGTCCTCCATCAATAGGTAGTTTAAGGTAGGAGATGTCCTCCATCAATAGATGGTTTAAGGTAAGATATGTCCTCCATCAATAGGTGGTTTAAGGTAAGATATGTCCTCCATCAATGGGTGGTTAAAGGTAGGATATGTCCTCCATCAAAAGGTGGTTTAAGGTAAGATATGTCCTCCATCAATAGGTGGTTTAAGGTAATAGATGTTCTCTTTCAATAGGTGGTTTAAGGTAAGAGATGTCCTCCATCAATAGGTAGTTTAAGGCAGGAGATGTCCTCCATCAATAGGTGGTTTAAGGCAGGAGATGACCTCCATCAATAGGTGGTTTAAGGCAGGAGATGTCCTCCATCAATAGGTGGTTTAAGGTAAGAGATGTTCTCTATCAATAGGTGGTTTAAGGTAAGAGATGTTCTCTATCAATAGGTGGTTTAAGGTAAGAGATGTTCTCTTTCAATAGGTGGTTTAAGGTAAGAGATGTTCTCTTTCAATAGGTGGTTTAAGGTAAGAGATGTTCTCTTTCAATAGGTGGTTTAAGGCAGGAGATGTCCTCCATCAAAAGGTGGTTTAAGGTAAGAGATGTTCTCTATCAATAGGTGGTTTAAGGTAAGAGATGTTCTCTATCAATAGGTGGTTTAAGGTAAGAGATGTTCTCTTTCAATAGGTGGTTTAAGGTAAGAGATGTTCTCTTTCAATAGGTGGTTTAAGGTAAAGAGATGTTCTCTTTCAATAGGTGGTTTAAGGTAAGAGATGTTCTCTTCAATAGGTGGTTCAAGAGGTGTTCTCATCAATAGGTGGTTTAAGGTAAGAGATGTTCTCTTTCATCAATAGGTGGTTTAAGGTAGAGAGATGTTCTCCATCAATAGGTGGTTTAAGGCAAGAGATGTCCTCCATCAATAGGTGGTTTAAAGGCAAGAGATGACCTCCATCATTAGGTGGTTTAAGGCAAGGAGATGTCCTCCATCAATAGGTGGTTTAAGGTAAGAGATGTTCTCTTTCAATAGGTGGTTTAAGGTAAGAGATGTTCTCTATCAATAGGTGGTTTAAGGTAAGAGATGTTCTCTTTCAATAGGTGGTTTAAGGTAAGATGTTCTTTCAATAGGTGGTTTAAGGTAAGAGATGTTCTCTATCAATAGGTGGTTTAAGGTAAGAGATGTTCTCTTTCAATAGGTGGTTTAAGGTAAGAGATGTTCTCTATCAATAGGTGGTTTAAGGTAAGAGATGTTCTCTATCAATAGGTGGTTTAAGGTAAGAGATGTTCTCTTTCAATAGGTGGTTTAAGGTAAGAGATGTTCTCTATCAATAGGTGGTTTAAGGTAAGAGATGTTCTCTTTCAATAGGTGGTTTAAGGTAAGAGATGTTCTCTTCAATAGGTGGTTTAAGGTAAGAGATGTCCTTCAATAGGTGGTTTAAGGCAAGAGATGTTCTCTTTCAATAGGTGGTTTAAGGTAAGAGATGTTCTCTTTCAATAGGTGGTTTAAGGTAAGAGATGTTCTCCATCAATAGGTGGTTTAAGGTAAGAGATGTTCTCTCTTTCAATGGGTGGTTTAAGGTAAGAGATGTTCTCTTCAATAGGTGGTTTAAGGTAAGGTAAGAGATGTTCTCTTTCAATAGGTGGTTTAAGGTAAGAGATGTTCTCTTTTCAATAGGTGGTTTAAGGTAAGAGATGTTCTCTTTCAATAGGTGGTTTAAGGTAAGAGATGTTCTCTTTCAATAGGTGGTTTAAGGTAAGAGATGTTCTCTATCAATAGGTGGTTTAAGGTAAAGTGTCCTCTATCAATAGGTGGTTTAAGGTAAGAGATGTTCTCTTTCAATAGGTGGTTTAAGGTAAGAGATGTTCTCTCAATAGGTGGTTTAAGGTAAGAGATGTTCTCTATCATCAATAGGTGGTTTAAGGTAAGAGATGTTCTCTTTCAATAGGTGGTTTAAGGTTTAAGAGATGTTCTCTTTCAATAGGTGGTTTAAGGCAAGAGATGTTCTCTTTCAATAGGTGGTTTAAGGGTAAGAGGATGTTCTCTCAAGATATGTCCTCCATCAATAGGTGGTTTAAGGTAAGAGATGTTCTCTTTCAATAGGTGGTTTAAGGTAAGAGATGTTCTCTTCAATAGGTGGTTTAAGGTAAGAGATGTTCCTTTTTAAGGTAAGATATGTCTCCTTTCAATAGGTGGTTTAAGGTAAGAGATGTTCCCTCTTTCAATAGGTGGTTTAAGGTAAGAGATGTTCTCTATCAATAGGTGGTTTAAGGTGGATGTTCCACTCAAGGTAAAGAGATGTTCTCCAGGAGATTTCATCAATAGGTGGTTTAAGGTAAAGAGATGTTCTCCTATCAATAGAGGTGGTTTTTCTCTTTCAGGTAAGGTTGTTCTCTTTCTTGGTCAAGAGGTGGTTTAAGGTAAGAGATGTTCTCTTTCAATAGGTGGTTTAAAGGTAAGGTAGAGATGTTCTCTATCAATAGGTGGTTTAAAGGTAAGAGATGTTCTCTATCAATAGGTGGTTTAAGGTAAGAGATGTTCTCTATCAATAGGTGGTTTAAGGTAAGAGATGTTCTCTTTCAATAGGTGGTTTAAGGTAAGAGATGTTCTCTTTCAATAGGTGGTTTAAAGGTAATAGAGGATGTTGTTCTCTATCAATAGGTGGTTTAAGGTAAGAGATGTTCTCTATCAATAGGTGGTTTAAGGTAAGAGATGTTCTCTTTCAATAGGTGGTTTAAGGTAAGAGATGTTCTCTCTATCAATAGGTGGTTTAAATAGGTAAGAGATGTTCTCTATCAATAGGTGGTTTAAGGTAGAGATGTTCTCTTTCAATAGGTGGTTTAAAGGTAAGAGATGTTCTCTCAATAGGTGGTTTAAGGTAAGAGATGTTCTCCATCAATAGGTGGTTTAAGGTAAGAGATGTTCTCTTTCAATAGGTGGTTTAAGGTAAGAGATGTTCTCTTTCAATAGGTGGTTTAAGGTAAGAGATGTTCTCTTTCAATAGGTGGTTTAAGGTAAGAGATGTTCTCTTTCAATAGGTGGTTTAAGGTAAGAGATGTTCTCTTTCAATAGGTGGTTTAAGGTAAGAGATGTTCTCTTTCAATAGGTGGTTTAAGGTAAGAGATGTTCTCAATAGGTGGTTTAAAGGTAAGAGATGTTCTCTTTCAATAGGTGGTTTAAGGTAGAGATGTTCTCTTTCAATAGGTGGTTTAAGGTAAGAGATGTTCTCTTCAATAGGTGGTTTAAGGTAAAGAGATGTTCTCCTATCAATAGGTGGTTTAAGGTAAGAGATGTTCTCTTTCAATAGGTGGTTTAAGGTAAGAGATGTTCTCTTTCAATAGGTGGTTTAAGGTAAGGGATGTTCTCTTTCAATAGGTGATTTAAGGTAAGATATGTCCTCCATCAATAGGTGGTTTAAGGTAAGAGATGTTCTCTTTCAATAGGTGGTTTAAGGTAAGAGATGTTCTCTTTCAATAGGTGGTTTAAGGTAAGATATGTCCTCCATCAATAGGTGGTTTAAGGTAAGAGATGTTCTCTTTCAATAGGTGGTTTAAGGTAAGAGATGTTCTCTTTCAATAGGTGGTTTAAGGTAAGAGATGTTCTCTTTCAATAGGTGGTTTAAGGTAAGAGATGTTCTCTTTCAATAGGTGGTTTAAGGTAAGAGATGTTCTCTTTCAATAGGTGGTTTTGGTAGGAGGTGTTGTCTTTCAATAGGTGGTTTTGGTAGGAGGTGCCTTCCATCAATAGTTGTTCCACAATACATGAGGTTTTCTACATCAGTAGGTGTTCCAAGGCATGAGATGTTAACATCAATAGGTAGAAGGTCTTCACCATAGCCTGTCCCCAATGGTAACTATCTCATCTCTCTGAACATCATCATTTCATCTGAAATATTTGATGTTTTAGAGGAACAGCTCCTGTCATACATCTTGTCAGAAATATATCACCAGCAATGAACAGTAAATAGATAACAGCTCAAGACACACAAACTGTTGTGTATGTAAACATGTTGTCGTGCTTTTAGCATGGCCAACACAAACATCAGCATCACGTTGGTATGACAGAAAACATTGAAATGTTAGTGTACAGATACCAGAAACAGTTATAATGGAATGTTTGTTGTGTCAACATTCACCTCGAGTTCGGAAGATAATCTGAAGGATATCAACATTATCTGCTTTGTTTTAGGAAAATAGTTTCAAACAACAACAATTTAAATGCAAATCAATTCAGTAACAAAATGTGTTCAATCTTTCTTTTGGGGAAGTATTTAATTAAAACTGCTATTTTGTATTTTTATTTGGTACTTTCTCTTAACATATGCATACTGCTGAATACAATAGATGTTTATTTCCATGCCATGATTGTCAAGTTTTTGTAAAATATTTCAGTTTTTTTAACAGGCAAGAATTCGTATTTGTTTCATTTGTATGATGTAAAATGTGTTTGCATTAAAAATGCAGTGAGGATGGTGTAATTCAAACTTGCTGCTGTTCCTAGATTAACAAACTCTTTTATTTCCTGATTTAATCAGTAGCAAATTACGTTCTCGTGTCTTGGTGATAACCTTTCATTACTTTAGGGAATAAGGTGTCATGATGTTTTCATTTTAACGTGAATGATGACAACTTAGATATCTCCATAGGAATGTAATCAATGGCTGGGCTTGCTCACTGTATAAAGAAAAACTGTCTTCGGCTTTAAATAATGGACGTTTCTCTCCAAAGGCCTTTTCCAACAACTTCACCTTTGTCAGTTGTTATGCAATTATTATGGTTTTTCTCCTTCCACAATCTTTTCAGGGAGGAGTAAAGGATTTCCAAATGTTGCCAATATTTCAGTTGACTTTATTAAGTGACAAAAATTATTCCCAACACAAGGTCAATCAATATTGAGTTGCCAGTCCCTGTAAGCTTCTTTCGTATTATTGTGAAGAAAAAGATAATATGTAGGTATTTATTCATTAGAAGATTGACTCAATGTTATTATTTGTTTCAAGAAATATTTATAAGGTAAAAACTTGGAGTTGGAGAACAGAATAACTGTATCCATATTTTTAATATTTTTGCTCATCTGGATTTCAGTCACTGGTTTCTGTTGTCCAGGCGAAACTGTTTGTTTGCCTTGGATACCTGTGTAGAACTGGTCGTCAGCAACCCATGTTTGTTGTAAGAGTCGACTAAAGGTGGTCGGGTTCATAGACTTGGTTGATGCATGTTGTATCCCAATTGTGTAGATTGATGCTCATGATGTCGATCACTGGATTGTTGGGTCCTGACTTGATTATATACAGACTGTCCTCATATGTCTGGAATACTGCTGAGTGTGAGTTAAAAAACAAACAAGCAAACAAAAATATGTTTCTCTTTGTAGGAATTCATCACACAAGCATTAAATTCTTGGAACTGAATGGGCATTGTCATTCAACAATATAGAACGTCAGTGCCAGAGAATAGTCTGCTGAAGCAGATTCCATTGGTCATAAAAGGCAAAAAGCAGTCTTAACACTAACACAAGCATGATTCTAAAGTACTGTATGATGTTTTTGACAGAACATAAAGTCAAGGTTAAGCTGTAACATTTGTATTTCCTTTTCAGGAGAGTCTAATGGCTGCTCACAGAGGTCTTAAGCAACAAGTGGAAGAAATACGTCAAAATCAAGCCCGAAGATTTGTGCCTCCTACTTAACTGCTCTTAGACTCCGTATGGAATGATCTTGTGTGTGCATGTGCTATACTGCATGGATGTGAGGAAACAGAGTAACTTGAAACGACTTGGTGGATGAATTGTGCATGCTTTTGTACACAGTGTCAGTTGTTTGACATTGAGAACTTCAGCTGTAACAGAAAGATTTTGAAAGCTATAGCTTAGCATCAGTACTGCCACTGTGTAGAGCTATCTGTGTGCATGTTGTCACTGACAACAGCATGACAGTATGACTGTCTTAGGGACTGATGACGAGCAAAGACAGTGGTCAAACCAAGGGCTCACTTGATGTCAGTGACAATTACATATAAATAATGCTGTCGAGTTTACCCTTCATCCGATTCTAAAGTGATTTGTGTTCACTTAAACCTATTGTGTCAAGACATTTGATATTTCCTTACTGCATAGCTCCTCCCGACCTGATATTAAATCACCTGAAATTAGACTTGCAATGCATACAAGAGAATCTGAGAATTCTTACTTTCATCTGCAGCTGGTCGTTTATGATTGGGGTGATGGGGTAGCCAAATGGTTAAAGCGTCCGCTCGTCATGCCGAAGACCCGGTTTGATTCCCCACATGGGTACAATGTGTGAAGCCCATTTCTGGTGCCCTCCGCTGTGATATTGCTGGAATATTGCTAAAAGCGGCGTAAAATCAAACTCACTCACTGTTCATGACCTTGGCATCAGGCTTGTTGCTCACCTTCCTGTAATTGTCGACACCTGCATCAATTTTTACGTTGTTTCATTGTTGTAGATTTTTGTAAGAATATATAGAAATAAGTCTTGATTTTGCTCACAAATAATTGTCTCAAAACATATTGGCAAATATGACAAATAAAACTCTTTGGCTGAAGTGTGGAAGCGTCATTGTGCCATGAATTTAACTTTTACGTTTTACTTTTTGCCCTATGCTGGATTCCTTCAGATATAAGAGGACATTTTGCTCATGGCATATATCAGTTCAGTACAGGAATTGTCTTGTGTACTGACGATCTGGTGTATGATCAGATGTACTGTAAGTTGGGGATTAAGGTGAACATAGTAATAAGAGTGGTGTATTTTTGTCTTTCTATGAATTCCTTACAGCTTTGATCAACAAGAAAATTTAGTATGGCATGTGTTAGTGGTGGTCCGATTAATTGAAATAATCGAAGATTGGTCACAGTGACTAAACGACCAAGCAATCGATCATGTTTTCTCATAATCGAACACAAACAATTCCAGAACACTTGTTTTCATTAGCAGTATTTTTCACTAGGTTGGTTTTGTCTGTTACATTTCATAAGCACTACAAGCTCATTCCAAGTCATGATTGAATTTATCTTAAAGACTCTAAGAAATTTATGTTCCTCCATACTAGTCATCCTTTAAAGATGGGAAATTTTGCCCCAAACCCCCAAAGAACTACATGTTTTTTTCCTTAATGTTTTGTGCATTAACACATTTCAAAAATGACGCTGACCAATTATTTTCGATGATTGTTCGGTTGTAATGAACCAGTCATCAATTATGAGATTTTAACCAATTCCCAACACTAACATGTGTGCAATGTAACCTAATATGTATCTAGGTAATTATACTTGATGCGTTTAGGAAGACGACCACATCAGTAATGTTAGCATGTTTGCATAGAATCTTAGCAACAGAAAAAAAACCTTAGAAGCCAGGTCAAATGTTTCAACATTTCTGCCAATTCCTCAAGTTTTCCATAAGGCATTCTTGATATTCAACCTGGAACTGAAGTCACATTACTACTTTTAATGTTATTTTATTTGACTGGATGAAAGTGATGATGCTTTAGCATTAAGATAGAAGGATACTTACACACAGATATGTGCCTCTATTTAAATGCGTATCAGACACACTGGGATTTTTTTCAAGTTAATTAAACTGCAAGACACATGATTATATTGAAAACTTTGTGCTTGGGGTAGAATATAATTTTGCAGAATAAACATCAAATGAAAGACATAATTTGGTGCACTGACAAAAGAGAAATATTCAAGGAAAATGGATCAAAATTAATTAAAATCGTGGTATCTTTGTGAGATATACACATGTTGCTATTTATGTATTTTATTGAAACAATGAAATATGACGGACAGCAATTTCATGCAGAGTGATAATCTTTTCATCTGTACTGTTCAATCAGACAGTGTACTGAAATAATACCCCTCTCATTTGAAACTAGCCATTATCTCAAGCTATAAGGGTCATGTTCAATCACAATCTTAAAGTCAACTGAAAGTCAATGGGTAGAGTCTAATGAAACATCTGGAAAGTCGACATCAGCTGCCATAACCTGAGCAGTTTTATATATACCACCCATCAAAAGTTTAGACTCACTTAAAGCACTCGCTATATATTATGTATATGGTTATATCGAAGATGAATTTCTTCGCTAACCTGGGGGGAGCCAACTGCAAACCTTATGCAGATGATCATGCATTAAATTGCTGAAAAGCATGTGCAAATATCATGCACATGAGCTGCTGCGTTTTGGTGGAAAGTTTTGTTAAGAATTCACTAATTTTCACTGAGTTTCATCATATATTGAACTCATGACAATAATATTTTCAACATTATGAATTTGTTTTACAATACATCAGTTCATTTGTAAACCATACCTTTAAACAGTATGGGATATTTAGCAAAATTTAGTTTAGAACAGTTGACTGAAGTAAGTGGCTACATTTACACTAGTGAGTCTAAACTTTTGATGGGTGGTATATTTGTCAGCATTGTTTGAAGGAGGAAGACAATGAAATTGTATATTGCTTCATGTGGTCTTGGCAAGAAAAGACCAAACTGCGAATAAACAGAATATGTTGGATGGGAAGGAAAAGTATTACTCATCTGAAAAGCAGTTGCATTTTAAATAAAATATGTTAATACATTATCTGAATAACAAAGAAATAAGCAATATGAGGAGCTGACAATCAGTAGTCATATGGGTTGCAAAAATAGTTTTGTAAATGCTTATGGTTTTCATGTCTCTTCAAGTTTCTTCATAATGTTCTCAACCACAACCCCACATGGGTACAATGTGTGAAGCCCATTTCTGGTGTCCCCTCCGTGATATTGCTGGAATATTGCTAAAAGTGGCATTAAACCATGCTCACTCACTCACTCAATCACTCACTCTCAACCTCAAACATATAATAATACTAGACAATCAGCGATGGTTAGGCATGTTTTGATAATTTGTGTTCAACTGAAATCAAATCCAATATACACACTTCATTTATGACAAGGTGGTTTGGATGTTTACCAGTATATACTTGCGATAAAACTTCGGATGTAACATGGAGTTACAGAAATGAACTAAAACGTGTTTCGGGATCTGTGTTGTTGATATAAATAGATGATATTTTACACTGCAAGAGATGTTCAGCCCTATGGTTGTGATCAGATGCAGGAAACGTTTTGCCTGTGGTAATAAGAGGTAAGCACTGCATGTCTGAGAATCCTCAACTTCACAACAAGGTCTACACAGTAGTTACAGTGTCCTTTGTAGGAGATAAAAAGTTCTACAAAAGAGATAAAAGGTCCTACATAGAATGTAATTTTGCAATGTTGGGGCCAGGATTCCACCATTTTTAGTTGTTCGTGGTAGTATTGATGCAGCATACATAATCACTGCTAGTTTGGCATGTGAAATCACGATCAGAGGTTCCTTGTTGAATGGGTGCGGTGGGGTAGCCTAGTGGTTAAAGCGTTCGCTCGTCACGCCGAAGACCTGGGTTTGATTCTCCACATGGGCACTATGTGTGAAGCCCATTTCTGGTGTCCCCAGCCGTGATATTGCTGGAATATTGCTAAAGGCGGAGTAAAACCATACTCACTCATTCACTCCTTGTTGAATGATAAAGATGAGTGGGTGATTCACAAGCAGAACCAAGCCAGTAAGGGACATAACTCTGCACAGTGCATTGTGTCATTGGCCTGGTGTACTTGTGCCAAACCTTAGAAGTCAAAGTGTTGACGTCAAACATGTTTGCTAAAAGTTGGATTTTGCCATTTTTAATATGGCATAACTTGAACCATATTCTATGTTTTCTGTTGATCAACATTAAAAATTTAAGGCTCCCTAGATTCAGACACTAACACTGGCATGTGCAAGTAATTATCCAGCCACTGTTGGTTTACCCTGTTGGTTTACTTGTTCAGTTAGGTATTTTGTCATGCTTGTCATCCCCTCGATGGTACAGCACAAATCCTAATGATAAGGTTTACTGTCCTGTGTGTGAAACCGAGAATATTGCAGGCCTAGAAGCAACTGTGTGAATTGTCTTTTAATATTTTGTTTTATCAATGTACATTCTTATTTTGCACAGCATTGTGCTATGGTGATGTTAATTGAAATTAATACTGTAAATAGATGTATAATAAATTACTTTCAGAATAACTTGTAGTTGCATATTTTGTTTGAAGTTACTTATGTTTACAAACGATTTTTCTTCAGTAGTTCCGATGCTGCGTTTTAGTGGTACATGATGATAATTTAGCCGAGCTGTGATTTGAGAGTCTACACTGCGAACTGTCCAGAGGTATCAGTATTTGCTAATATCTGAATACTTTAGCATACACTCCCTCCTTGTCTGCTGGCTACTCTCCTTCCCTCCAAGGACCACATGCAACCTGTCAAACGTTCATCATTAATCCATTAAGGACTCCTTGTACCAGATGGCTGTGATGCTGGACGTCGATATGATTCAGCTGATGAAAAAGATAAATCTCTTGTAACATACTTTCTCCTTGATTTCTGCTTGTCGTTTTATATTGATACACCTTTCGACGGGGTGCTGGGATTGACAGCGATGCCATGCATGGATGGTGGTGTTGTTTACAATGTTGGAGCTGATCATTTGACAAGGCTGGACTCAGTGATCAGTGACAATAGCTGTCTCAGCACTGACACATCAGTTGAATGTGTAAAACAAAGCAAGCCTGGGCTCAAATATGCATTTAGCTTCATTACAACTGGTGTTAGGGAAACATTGTGGTGAATGGCTAAAGGTGATAACTTTGATCTCTACTCGAGGTGTGTACTTGACTTGTATCTAAGGTGGAATTCCGGTTCAGCCATAAAATGGATTATGACAAGTTGTCCAACATAATGCGCTGTGTGACAAGTATAGTTGATAATGGATATGTCGGGCACACCCGTGAACATCCGGGTTAGAATGGTCTTCAGCAACCCATGTTTGTCGTAAGGGGCGACTAACAGGATCAGGTGGTCACGCTCGCTGACTAGGTTGACACATGTCATTGTATTCCAGTTGCGAAGATCGATGCTCGTGATGTTGATCTCTGGATTGTCTGGTCCAGACTCGATTCTTTACAGACTGCAGCCATATAGCTGGAATATTGCTGAGTGCGGCGTTAAACAACAAACAGACACGCATATGATCGGGCACACTAGGTCGTCATCCAGTGTGTATCCCGACCAATGCAACAGTCTCCTGACCAGTGGAGCAGCGTCACGTCAAGGAAATGGCAAATGCAGTAAGTCATTAGCATGCAGTAAGTACTCAGACAATACACCTTCAGCTTGTCGGGGTTTTATATCCGTTAGTTGAAGGATTTATTTGTGACGTTTCGTACAGCAAGAATCTGTGCGCACCATACCCAAACTTCATTCTTTCGAAATCTTCCAATAAAAGCTGTGACATGACATCAGTTGACACGCTGTAATATAACGGAATACTGTTCAAGGGTGTCTACCACCAAGCTTGCCACGATTCTACAGTGCATATCATTGACAGAATGTACGAAGACGCGAATGCTTGACTCCAGGCACTTACTGGCCAGTGGATACTGAGCCATCCCAGACGATGTGAAGAGAACCTGCCTGT